GGACGCCGTGGGGAGAGCTGAACTCCCCCCAAGCTGAGGGTGAAGAAGACAGTGCTGTTTGGTTCCCAGCATACCTGGGCCTCAGGAGTGAAAATTAACTGGGTGAGACTAACTCTTTCTATATAAAACATACCCAGATTCAACTATTTAGAATACTAATCCCTTTATTTGGTAAATTTGATCAGACATATGAATATGTTTGCTGCATGATTAAATCCAATATAAATAAGAAAATGAAATAGTGCTTTCAAACCATTTTGCATATACACATATGTATTTAGCCAACTAGCATTTGTTAATAACTCATTTAAGAATTTAAATAGTGACAGATTTTGTAAATTTTGACAGCTTTAACTAGCTAGCACCCCACACAATCAAGTGAGGCGTGCAGTCAGCAGCACAAACAAGAGACAAAGAAGTATGCAAGCCAAGACTAATGGAAGCAGCAGGAGCAAGGCCAGGCCCCTGTGCTAGCTAGAGACCAATTCTACTGCACAAAGTTTTACAGTCATTATCTGTACATCCAAAGGGAATGAAGTTAATGCACTGTGAGCTGAGCTCTGTCTGTGCAGGAACTGCCTGTCTGATACCTGCATGCACTGAGAAACAGTGCAGCTCTGCATGCCTGTCTTCTACTATCTGCTATCCGTCTGCTCTGCCCATTCTACCATTTGCTACAGAAAGATTTAGAAAAGAATCGACTTGCCCACAAACTCTACTCGTGCCCTAATTATTAAATATAAAATATATTAATAGCATAAATATTTCAATGTTTGTTCCGTAGTTATAAAATTCCTGGTACTTTTCCCTGTCTTCCTGCTTCTTCCACCTCCCGTTCAAATCAGCTCCAATCAAATTTAAAGTGGGAAATACTGCTCTGCTGCATATGGGAGAATATTCATACATTCTTATTTCCATAAAAATTTCATTTAGTTTTGCAGGCAGAAGGAGCTTTTCCTGACTTTCCACATCAAACCTTAATGCCTATTCACCACAAGATAAGAAAATGTTATTACACCATAACTAGCTCGAGCGCCAACATATACTTACCCTAACAGATACAATCTGAGCATTAGCAAAACAGGTTATTACCCTATTTATTAAAAATTTATGACGTGTCCACTCATGTACCAAACATAAATCATGAAAGAAAAGAACTGCAACAAAAAGGAAGAAGAATATAAAAATTCCAAGTTCTCGATCTCTCCTGTGTATTTTTTTGCTTGCTTTTCGATCACTTATTTAATTCAAGTCTAGACAGGAAATCACATGCTGAAATTATTCACACAAGTAGCAGCTAGGAATTTGATCCCCCAGCGAAGGCTACTAGGTTGATGCAAAGTCCCAAAATACACGAAAAATCGAGACGGATGAAATAATTAAGCTAACAGATTGCACAAAATTTGAGGATCTGCAATACTTTCTGCAAGGACAGGAAACATACTTCTTCCCTCTAAATTATGTTCTTTTCATTTGGCGTGAACATATGCCCACTGCCTCCCCCTAAATTTCTCTTATCTATTACTACGAAACTGAAACCAAAACAATTTTGTCAACCACAGGCAACACTGCTTCCTGGAACACCCTGAAGTCAAGCAGTGACACTGAAAATATCTCGGAAGCTGGCAGTACAGAGCCAAGACATGTAAATCTTTTTTAAAGGCAATCCTACCAAAAATAACAAGTGTTTTAATTTTATTTCCTCACAAATAGCACATCATATCATCACTGTACGAGAGGCAATGCGTTCTGAGTGGTCACTGCACTGGCTGGGGCAGCTAAAGTTCAATTCCTGATGAAAAAACCCAGTGGTGTGAAACACTGGGCAGGTTGGTTCTCTCTCCACTATCCCATTTTGTTCAACTTTCCTACCGTGTCTGAGGGATTTGACAACTCTTCATACAGGTCTTCTAATCTCAACTGAACCTCTAGACGTAAGTGAAGGAAAAGGAATCCTCTTTCCTACTGTGTCTGAGGGATTTGCCACCTTAACTCTTCATACAGGTCTTCTAATCTCAACTGAACCTCTAGACGTAAGTGAAGGAAAAGGAATCCTAGTATTAAAAGGAATTACACCTACAGAATCAGTTGGAACCTGACAACAGCAGGAACTAGGCACAGGCAGCCAAAAAAGGTTTGTTTTGATGCAACACAGCTGGTTTACTTTTCACATCTAGAGACCACAATCTCATAATATTTTCCGAGTCAAACACAAACACTGCTAAAACTGAAACATTTTAAGACAAAACACAAATACATAAACAAGGAAGAGGAAAAAGATAAGGCTACAAGCTGGGCTAAGCCTGGAACTAGGCTTCAAGGGAACATTTTCTTCATGTTTCCCTTCATGGAGACCCACATCCTAGTTCTACACTCTTCAGAACCATCTAAGCTTCTATTACTGTCTTCTACTCACTGCAAATTACCATGATGAATTAGCACCTCTCCTTCTTTTTTAGGTTAAGCACTACATAAAGCTCAACCATAAGTACCCCAGCACAGTTGTACATGACTCCCAGACAAATTGTCCTTTGAACTCCACGGGAGCACCACCATCCCCCAGCTGTCCAGCAATACCACACACACCCTTTGCCTTTAGTTTTTCTCCTCCCAAACACACAGAAGTGTAAAAACGTTAAGTAGTTGCTCCAGCGTTCAAAGACCAATTAATTAAAGGAGATAAGGCTATTTAAGTAAAGCTTAATGTTCTGCTTTTGCAGCCAGCAAGCATTAGCACCTCTAAACCAGGGGAGCAACAGAAGACTTTGGCCATGTGACAGACGCACACTCCTCTGTCTCTCCTCCCCTCTTTGGAAAATGGTTTCATGACCCAAAAAAACCCCAAATCACGACGCAGGGACTTACTTGGGTTGGAACGAGTACCGGAGGGTACGCCAGCTTGTGGTGTCTGTACATCCAGAAGGAGAAGAGCACAATCACTGCAATCCCCATGATAGGCACCAAGGAATACAGCAAGGTGTTGAAGAGAGGTGGCTTGGGTGTAACGGGGTTGGACGTTGCTGAAGGAAGAAGGACACAGCTTTGAAGAAACAAAAACCATCCAGCACTTTAAGTGTCTACCAACCCAATTTTCTAAAAATCCTTGGAGTCAGCACGACAGGCTGAAAATACTTGATTAAATATGAACAGATCTAATGTAAACAGACACATATTTAAAAGGGAGCATTTGGGAAAGCTTGATTTCTTCTTATTAAGAAATAACTTAGCTCCCCAGATTGACACTTCAGCACATCTAACTTTTTTGTGCTCCTCAGCCTATCTACAGCATCTAAGAGGTGTCTGTATTTTAAGAAGACTGCAAGAATGCATCACCTAATGAATGAAAAGCAAATCAATATAAAGGTCTAGTCTTGTTGTATACATTCCAAAGATGTCATTAATCAGCCAAAAATAATCTGCCAATGTTTCCATGCACTGTTGGGTTGCTGAAAGTAAAACAGTTCTCTAGCTGAAAAGCTTCCATATGAGCTCCAGAAAGGCTCTGGAGGAGCCATGCTCCCAAGGCAGCTGGTGGAGGGGCAGCCACAGACCCCTGCACCTAAAGAGGTTTCACCAGACTGAAGAAGAACGTCAACTATTGCCTCTTAGCAGTAGCACTGACAAAAAAGATAACAATAGCTCTTGGGTCAACGAAGGCTATTTTAATTTCATAGAAAATGTTATTTAATTTCATAAACAACTTCCTCTAATTATTTGGTGCACAAGACATTTGCCGTTTTCAGCTCAGTTATTAACATTATTTGGTTTTCCAACAAAGATTAGATTTTTGACTGGAAGAAGATATGCACGAGTAATCAAATAACCTCTTAGTGATTGTTTTTTAAAACAATTACTGGTTAAGTCTGGCTATGTGTTTTTCTTTGTAACCTGGGAGGAAATTCTTTCCCCCTTTTTAAAGGTTACTGTGTCAATTTACAGAGAAACTCAGAGGTCCAATTAGTCTAAAGAAAGAGGGGAGCATTGTTTCAGGAAGAGGAGTGTTCCTAGGCGGGTGCAGGCACAGACCGGTGATCCGGTGATGTGGCTTTTAGCCCCGTGATTTACAGACACTTACAGAAGCTTAACTACACAATTAAGGTAACATTTGACAGTAACTTCTGTATCTTAAAACAGCCAATTACTTCAGATTATCCTTCTTGCCCTCAGAAAAGAGCTGAAGTACCTTTTATCAATTTAAATTACTTCTAGCAGAGAGACCTTTCGAAATTGAAGAAAGGAACTGGCAATTTTGCAGGCTCTTTATGTGAACGCACACAGTGCTCTATCACCCGGGAATCAGAAACCTGCTGGCAGGAAGAAATGACCACAATATTTTGAAAAGCCTTATCTCCTGAAGGTGCACAATACCAGGTCTTTCTAAACTCTGCTAAGCAGGTCCTTCATAAGCGTGTCAGACCGACTTACGTTGTGTGACCTCCATTTCTGGAAAATAGAAAAAGCGTTCATTGCACATGTTGCCTTCACAGCAACAGAAAAACACTTCAGGGCTGTCCTTCTTCTCTATGCAATCATTCCTGTAAGGATAAGAATAAAATATTAATCCTTTGTTTGGTTTTTGTTCAAGAGAAAAACACATGCTCATATTTAAAATTTCAAGTGAACGTCATTAAATCATCCACATTAACATGCTACCTAAAGAAGAGTTCAATCTGAACAAGCAAATGCAAATGTGATTTTATATTGCAACAAAATATCACTAAAACTGAAACAGCACGATTTTGCTACTTTTAAGATAAAGAAAACCACCAACAGGATATTGAAGAATGGTTCATGATCTAGATTTAAGCAGGGCAAACAAATGATCCAGTGGCTGATGTTTAACCATTAACTCACTGCACAGGGTTGCACAGGTTGGAGATAAGTGGAAAGGAGCATTTTTATATTTTATTTTTAGATAAAAGAGGTAAAATTTCAACAATTTCTCCTGCTTATATTGTGCTCAGGGACAAGGCTGACTTCACTCAACGAGTTAACTGCAGGACAGGACTTCTAGTAACAAATAAGCTGACACTACTCAAGTCAGGAAAGAGGAATAACTATCATGCAGAAGGTGACAGCAGAAAACAGAAAAATTCAAACATCCTGCAGAAGTAGTTGAGGATTTTAGATACAACTGAGGATTGTCCGAGAAGTTTTGGGTTCATCTTCAAAAATTAGGGTTATTTTATTGAACTAGCTATGGCAATTATACTGCACTGTAGCTTCCATAAAACATTTATTCTTTGATGGTTTTAATCTGCTGTTGTTTGGAGCTCATCATACCGTAACTCCCTGTTTAATAAATCACTCCTCACTCCCAGAGATAAGATTGTTTCATGAATATTTCAGACAAACACAGCAGCCTGCATTCTGATGGCAAGTTAGTTAATGAGGTCTTAGAGCCAGACAAATTTTTTGCTCAGTTTTCAACCATTTCCTTACCACCTTCCCTGCATTTTATTCCTTCTTCCCATTTTTCTTTGCTCAAGGGAGAATTTAACATCCTTTTCTTTTTTTAAGACTGTTCAAAGAGGTGGAAGTAGTGAACTACAGAACCCAGCTCTATTTACAAATTGAAAAGTTCTACTTCCATCCTAGCAGTCTAAACGTTTAGCAGAAATAAACCAAGTTCAGAAACTGTAAACGTCCCCACTTCTGCAAAGCTACAACTACAAGCAGATTAAAAAAATATTAAAAAAAAAAAAACTTCCTATCCTAACTTAGTTACTAGACATTAGCAGTCAGAAATATTTTTTTTTTAAACTGTCCTTTGCCTTCCAGCATAGCTGAATTTCAATCAAGCTTGCAGATGCTTTGCTACTTCAGAGGAACAGGTAAATCAGAACCTACTGCTCAACTCTGCCTTCAGCTGTCATTAAAGGAGAAAAAATCCTCGTGTGTCAGGCAAGTTCATGTGGGAGAAATGACTATAATCAGTTCTACTCATTCAACATATAAACACAAACAGGAAAATTTTTACAATATTGCTAAAAAGAATCTATAAATACATTTTAATGAGGACCTAGTACACACTTAATTGTCTGGAATTAAGAAAATAACTGTTTAATCAAATGAAACTTAGTACAGTACTTAAGAAATGATATTACATTTCTTAAAAAGAAAGTCATGACCTTTACTCAACCAGTAGCTAACAAACCCCAAGTCCTGCTGTTACTGCTCATGGGTACTTGCTAGACCATCTGTTATTAAAAAAAAGAGACTGGAATTTTAGACTATTTGATGTCTCTTTGAGGTGAGCTTTTTAATAAATGTAGACATATTTTGCCAATTTAAAGAGCAGGCACCAAGTACTGACTTCCCTACTCCAAAGACTTGAGAATAAAGTAAACTCCAGAATTCTGCATTCTGGTTTCAAAGACTATTTGCATTTGTAAGTCACTAAAATCTACTACTTATGGCCTAAAAAAGAATAAATTAAACATCTGTTTTTTTAATATAGAGAGTAAGTAAATAGCATTTAAACCACGCTATTCTGCAAACAAAACAAAGTAGACAGACGGGTAAAACAGTTCAAAATTACGAAGAAATGTATAAATTTGCCAGAAACTCACTCACCTGTCATAACAATTGATGTCATCGAGCCAGCAGCCTTGCTTCACGATTTCAATGGACCCAGAGATGTTCTTCCAGGTGGCGAAGCAGTGTCGCCTCTTGTCCTTGTCCCCGTAGCACGGCTCGATCCCGCTGCGGTTCGTCTTGTCCTTCTCCCAGTTAGCGTTGTAGTAGATGCACTCCTGTGTTTCTGATCTGCCAAGGATGGCACCTTTTAGGAATGAAAAGCAAAGCACAATTAAAAGGCATTCTGAAGGATGAGACGTATGGACAGTTAAAGCCAAGATACACTAAAATATCACAAACTGCTTGCTTCAATACGCCCTCTCCTCTCCCTTTTTTTTTTCATAAATAAAGAAAATATTTGAAGTCCACCAGCCTAAGCGTTGAAACAATACAAAGACATTTTATTAAGTCAAAGAATGACTTGGATAACATCAAGATTTGAAGAAAAAGAACGTTATGACAATATTTTTTCCCTGAACAGCAATAGCAGGGAAAATGACAAATACCAAACAAAAAAGATGTAGTTACAGTATCAACCAAACCAGTTTTAGCTAGTAGAAGTTACTAAAAGGTGTTTCTGTCTCTTACCTAGTTACACGTGCCAAAAAAACACAACCAACCAACAGTCAGTAGGTCTTACAAGCCTAAATGTAACTCAAAAATTCCAGTTTAAACCATCAACATCTTCTCCCCTGGCTTTCATCTGTGGTGTAGCTTCTTACCACAAGGCACTGAAGTAGAAGACACTCTATGCTAAAATAGCGTCTTTTGTGTCATTCTCATTTCCCAAGTGAGCAACTGGCACCGAGACTACGGGTGTGAGGCAGAGGTCCCTAATCTCCATGGACAGCGCTGGTTTCTTGCTGCATGGTGCCACCCAGTCAATCAGCTGCACCACAGAAGACATTAGATCTTTGTCACAGCTCTAGAGCAGAGTGCTCCTGCCCTTGGAAGGCCCAGGATCCCACCTCCCCTTCCCCCAGGATGCACCCAGCAAAGGCACTGGGTGGCTGACCTGCACGCTTCAGGGAACAAAGCCAAGCAGTGTCCACTAACCATGCTGGTGACCACAAAGGACCTCCAGGCTTCCTAACCTAACCTAGCAGCATGTGACGTTTTGTTGGGTGTTTTTTGTCATCCCAGCATTCTCCAAAATAAAAGTTTCTGTCCTTTTGAATTTAATTTTATCTTTTAAATTACAAATGTAATTGGTTCGTTTGATGCCTACTGACAACCTACAGCAAAACTCAGAGAATATTAAGACTGAGGAACCTCAAAGTGGAGCTGATTTCATAGTTATAAAGTGACATGAAGCACCAAGCTGGTTACTGCAAAGGTAAAGGGTTGTTAGGATGCAAAACTGTTAACAAAAATCCTGGAAGGGAGGAATAACTGGCTTTTGCTTCCATTTTGATCTTGTCAAACACTGCCAAGAGTGCATCCTTAACCTCCATGCAAGCATCATCATTTAACATGTATTAAACCCATGGAAAAATAGAGAGAGGTGAAAGAGCCAGAGGACTCCCTTCAGCACCAAGGAAGGGTCAGGAGGATGACAAAAGCACATTTACTCTGCCTGTGCACCCATCTGCTATTTTCCAGAGGTACAGCAGACATCATGCTGAAGATCAGATGTAGACAGGAAAGGTCATCCATGGCAGCCATGTCACGTGTATTTATTCGTATCACTGATCACCTCCTTTATTCACACATATTCACAGTAATTTTGATACATCAGCTACTGCCTTGTAGCCATACCCATAATTCTCATTCACCCACACGAGGGTGGACCAGAGAGAGCAGCTAAAACCCTGACTTCTTTTGTGGGGTGAAATCCTTGGCACTCAGGCACTCCACACAACAACGTGGCAGGAGGTGGGGGGTTCACGGACCAAAAAAGTTGCACGCCTCAGGGGGAAGGGAATTATTTCAAACTGAGAATTGCTGCAGCCCTCCTGAAGCACAGCATGGGCTGGCAGAGCCACGCCGGGCATCCCACGTTACCACCTTCAGAAACTTTTGACTTTGAAGCATTCCCAAAATAGGCAGAGGATGCTGCTCACTTGGGCTTTTTGGGCAAGAGCCTGGATGTTCAATGGGCGAAGCACGCTCGCCAGCTGGTAACCCTGTGAGATGCAGCATGCTAACTATTATATTCTTTGTGCTGCGATGGCCTGACCTTTACAACTCCCAGCCACGGCAAGAAACAGATGAGGCAACAGATTGAACAATTTGGTTCTGTCAGTGCAATAAAGCAGAAGTCCTGGATTTCTCTCATACGTGCCATTCCTTCTCCTCTGCTGCCAAGCCCAGCTTTGAAGGACCATAGACAAGCTGAATTTGATGAAATTCTGAAAATACAGTAAAGCTAACTTTGTGCAAATATTCTCCTTGTACATGTCTTCTCTGCAGTCAGGTCTCCTTAGCCGGGAATGCTCTGGAACAGCTCAGCCCATCCAACTGGGGGGCCGCGACTTCGGATCTGACTGGAGCATCTACCTACAACACCTTCTCTAGGGGCTGAGTGGGCACCTGCAGGAGGTCTGGCCAGGCTACACTGATGCATGGACATACCAAGGCAATCTTGGATTGATCCTCTGCAGCAGGAAAGCGAGACCCTGGTGGAAGCAAGGGAAGAAGAGGAGGGGAACCACACAGAGAAGGAAGCCCTAAGCCCACCGCCCAAAGGAAGCATCTGCTTAGAAACAGCCCTGCCACCCCCTCCCACAGGGACCAACCTCACAGAGGAGAAGGGCACCTGGCATTTACAACAAAAGCAAATTTATTGGTGTCCCAGTTCGGGTGTCGTATGAAACTTCTACATTTGTTTTGAGTGGAGACAAATTTTTTTCACATGAAATTGTCAGGTCCTTAGGAGATGAATTACTGAAGCTCAAATGGCAAAATACTGCTGTCAAAAGAAGCTGTGAGGAAAGCACCAGGAGTATCCTATGGACTGAACTTAAAGTCTGAAAGCTTCCAAAAGGAAAACATACTAAAAAAAAAAAAGCAAAGAATGTTCAAGTCTGTAACAACAGAGTCTGGATTCAGCATGTTAACACAGATCACATTTAATATCTGCTGTTATCATACAGCAGTTAGTGTGCTGCTGGATCTCTCCACATTTGTGCTCACCCACAACAGCTGCAGTAAGAAAAGAAACCCAACATTTGGCAGTGAACTTCTGAACTGCCGTTACCACAGGATATGCTGTCACTGTTAGCAGCACAGAGAGCAATTTTATTAGGGTGCACTTGGGCAGTCTGGAAACCCTCACCTGAGCAGGAACTGGAAGGGCTGGCTACCATTTTTTTCCAAGCATGGATGCTTGAGGAAAAAAAACCAAACAAACAAAAACTACCCAGGTTTTTGATTTTAAAAGGGCAAACAATGAAATAGATTCTAAGGAGGACTATGCTAAGAGTCCTAATTGCAACGTGATTCATGAATCTCATGATGTTCAACAAGGCCAAGTGCGAGGTCCTGCACCTGGGTAGGGGCAATCCTCATTGTCAACACAGGCTGGGACATGATGTGATGGAGAGCAGCCCTGCAGAGAGGGACTTGGGGGGACTGGTGGACAAAAAGCTGGATATGAGCCAACAGTGCACACTCACAGCCCAGAAGCCCATCGAGTCCTGGGCTGCACCAAAAGCACTGTGTCCAGCAGATGGAGAGAGGGGATTCTGCCCCTCTGCTCTGCACTGCTGCCCCTCTGGCACTAATATCCCCAAACATATAAGGAATAGAGCAGTTTACTAGCATAAACCACTCCAGCAGAATGGCCCAAAGCACCACAGGGGCTGGACATTCATGCGTTACTGGCCAGCACAGCTCATTCACTGAAAGATCTGAACTGTAACACGGTGCTCTACAGGAACAGAAAGGAACAGAAAACATAGATTAAACAGAAATAGCCCCTGAAAAAAACCTTCAGTTACTGTACAGGCATCTTTCCAAGCACTTGTCCATATACATTACTCTATTTGTTTCCACTGTAATCTCATACACAGTTTCTAGACCCACACACAGATCTAAGAGTAGACTACAAATAGATACCCAAAAGGTCCAGCTTTGATGCTTCCGCAGGCAGGAAGCAGGTTTTTATCATTCTCTATTTTTTCTGGTAACACCCAGGGGACTGTTTCTCAATGGAAAAGCAAAGACCTTATTTTCAACCCAATAAAGCAAACTGAGTTACCACAGAAAAGGGCTACTGTGACCTCCTGATACACACCAGTGTGTCACAAAACATATCTGGTTATCTTTAGGCAAGTGTAAGTCCTGCTGCCATTGTTCTCAATGCTCGTAGGTCAAGCAAGGACTGCACTTCACATAAATTAAACCAAAGTACGTTCATTAAATCCAACCAGAACAGCAATTAACCTCAGCAACACAAGAATCAAGATAAACAAGACAGCAGAGTAACACATCCCCTGAACTGCTGTTACTTACACCTGAAGTTGAGCACTGCCTCACACACAAGATGTGTATCTTTCCAGACTAGGATTCCTCATTATCAGTCTCCTTTTCAGCACCTTCCACCAAGCCTGCATTGTAGGTCAACGAAAAGGTCACTGGGGAAGAAGGGAGAAACCCAGCCCAAACCACTCAAAGATTCCCTGAAATGCCACCACCATGCTACGCCTCTGCCCTGAAGTCTGATAGATTTAGTATCTCCTAAGAGGCTAAAAAGTTAAAAACCTAAAGATCCATCTGATGTTTTAAAAGGCTTGTTTCTTTTCCTAAAATAATATTTAAAAATACAAAAATAAGTGAGTGTGCAATTCAGCATGGGTCCTACAGCAAACGTGGAAGTTTGAGTGCAGCTTTTTGTAGCACAATAGCTATACTAAACTTCAGCTCTCCAGGAATATAACATGATTGGAAGCTTCTGTGGAAGTATCACAAAACCAGTATTTGCTTAGATATTTTGTGAGATAATTTGAAAGTATTTCAATTTTTTTTTTACAATTCTCACCTTGCCAAAATGGAAAACTTGCACAGATGAGCCTGCTGCAGAAGCATGAAATTCTTTAACTGAGATGAACATGTCTGAAGAAGAGCTTTCCAGAAGAAGAATCCAGTGGTGAAAACCTTACAAATGACCTGCCTAATGGCATTAGAGTCTTAAGAGCACGGGTTCCTAAATATAAACTGGGGAGGATGGTGTCATCAACACCAGTGTGCCCAGCAGGAGTAGGG